GTATAAAGTATTTCATATCTGGGGTCAATTGTACATTAACTGTGGAACTAGCAATGTAATTAAACCACATAAAATGCAGCCAATGACTAAGTTAATTTAAGTTTTTTTTTTATCTGAAGAGAAGAATAGGAGGAAAAAAGGGCCCCTGAAACACTTCAAATACTTATTGAATGGCTTCATTGGAAAAAAGCTACATGTGCTCATGAATTGACTGCCGCAAAAATTTTTAGAATCCGTCAAGTTGAACGGAGTTGCAGGGCTTTGCTACACACTTCAAGTGCGACCTCTCTCATACTAGCGAGTGTGTTGAAAGCTACACAGGGGAGGGGGATGACAAGGGGGCAAGATGATTAACTTCTTTGTCAGTGCACATCATGACCTTAAGCTCTTTCTTTACATTTTTTTTTCTTTGAACACACAACTTGAGTGCAACTGCACATGCGTGCATGTGACAGCATCTTGCGGTGGCCACAGTAACTATGAAGGTCGCACTGCTGAATTGGCCAATGGTCATAGACTCTGGTATATGGCGCATTTATTTGGGCATATGGCATCATTTGTCGAGAGAAAAAAAGGTGATTTATAGTTGACTTAGAGAACCAGTGGTGAATTCCAGGCCGTGTGCTGCGTTGTAATCCAGTGTTGCCAGGTTTAGCTATATATGGCCAAATTGGGCTACAGAAAAAGCTTTTTGGCGTCATCTTGCACGAGTTGGTTATGTGGCTATATTTGAGCTACTAAAATTCGAAGACTTGGCTTTTTCTGAGCTGTAAGTCATGCCGCCGTGGTGAACGCTCCAGAGGTGGCTCTCATCGAGCCGACACAAATCTCTAAAGACGCATTCACATTTGGCCTTGAAAAGGCCAAAAACTTCAAAATTCACCAGAATTCCGCACACTTAGTCGCCAAGAGAACAGAAAACCGTGTGACGAGCACCAGCTGTCTATGTCTATCTTTGTCCGAGCGGTTGCAGAATGCTTTTTTGCCTCTCCGGAAGCCGTACTTTGGCTGTGCTGGCATGTGAACCACATGATGTTAGGCTGCAATTCCATACTGGAAGCCAAAGATTCAGACGTGAATCTAATTTGTATATGCATACACAAGCGGGCTTTCGTTTGTTGGAACCTTCTGCAACTTTGCCGATTGCGTAGCGGTGAGTCATCTTTTTAATCAGATTGCAGGTGCAACGCGTGTATTGTGTTGTCTATGCTGTGGAACTTACACAACTTTGAGCGCATGCCCTGCAATGATGCACCTGGCCGCGGTCATGAATAATGAGCTCACACGTTTCGCCCAATATCAGATTTCGGCGCCTGTGCTCATAGCTCGCGCTTTGCATGACATCTGTGTTACTCGCAGCAAGTTTAGCCAAAAGTTTTTTTATCTCCAGTTTAATCCATCGTGATGGGTTTGTTATGGAGCTCGAATGCCGACATGAAGGTCGCTGGACTAAATTCCGGCCACAGCGGCCGCCTTTCCGTGGAGGTGAAATGCTACCGAAGACTCCATGAAGAACCCCAGGCTGTCGTGATCTTCGTATGCACGGTGCCTCTCATAATCATGTCATCACTTTGGGACGCGAAACCGCGGCCATTATCACTATCTGCTTTATCAACTATTCTATCATTCACTGCCACAAAAAAATTAATGCAATCATTAAAATTAAAAACATTTTTAGGCGTGAAGCTCCTTAAGCCTCAAGTTGTTGGTAGCCACCTCTCGTTTATTTTTAGAATGTCCGCTAGATGGCGGTACTTGTATATGATAAATACATGATGTAAAAATCCGAGATGGCGATACTTAGAGTGTTTACTAGATGGACGGACAGACGGTTTAAAACCCTCCAAAAATTCGTCCCACTCATCATCATTCACTTCGTGGATATGCAGTGATTTTTTTATACTTTGACCTATATTAGACATCAATAAGGAGTGGAGTATCCAGAGGTTGGCGTACAGAACCCGTGCCTCCCCCCCCCCTGCCAAAAATAGAAAAAAATTTCTACCTATGCTCATGTCGATAAGTGGCCGTTTTTTTATTTGCTGGTGCTAAACTGAATTCCATGCACCAACTCAATATTCACAGGGACGGCGGCGAAAGCCAGCATTTATGATCATAACATTTGGCAAAATTAATTCTTGGCCATGTTTTGCATGTGTAAAATTATGCTGAGTTGGAAATAGCAGGCCCTATAGAGCACCTCGATTCGAGAGGCAACTTTCCAATAATAACGGACTGGTGAGACGTGGGTTGCAGACCCTATACATAGTGTGCACGTGCGTCACACAGCGCCCCTTCGTCACTTCCGAAATGCGTCCACGACATAATCGTGTACCTACCGACTCTGTCACCTATCGCTGTCGTGTTGTTTCCTCCCGCTTGCGCCTGTTCAATTTTGCCTCACGATGCAAGTTTGAGGAATTACCAGCTGCTAGTGAGGCAAGTTCATTTAATAGTCCACGAAGAGGAAGCAGAGTTTCGGGGTGTTTGTTCGCCGAAAGTTATTACCTAAAATTGAAAACGCGCATTGCGATTTTACGAAAAATACAGGCGTGTTTGGCTGGCGCGGATTAACAAAAACTACATGAATAAACTCAATGATATTTGCGTCTTCATGTGTAACTTCATTACGGGTAAGTGCTATAGCCAAGCACTTACCTGCAAACAGAGATAGCTTACCAAGATAATGTACATACAAACTTGTCTGCCACCACTGCGTGCACAATCAGAGTGTCAGAAAGGCTGTTAAAATCGTGATGGCAATCGTGGAAATTTGGGTATTGCATTGAAACCAACAGTGAAAATGAATGCGAGACAATATTAGTTCACTTTGAAGTATAGCCGATCAGTTCGAGTTGGGGGTCAGGATTTTTTTTAAATTGGTCAATTAATTCACTAACACGGTCTCCATCATTTTCAGGGACTTCACTGTACGTTAGCATACAAGAAAAGTAAAATACAAGGTGAAAGAGGTGTCAAAACATGCGCAAAAAAAAAAAAAAGGATGACCGGCATTACTGCGGTACGCATTACGCGAAGTGTCTATGTGCCTCGCATAATATTTTCCTTGGCTCTGTTTCCACGAATTTCAATCAAAGAGGCTCAACATCAGCACTGTTTTAAACACTTGAAGGGTGGCATGGGCCGCTTCAATGTATTAATATTATATCTCTTGTAAACTTGCCTAGCTCTGCACAACTCGTTTTCGATGGGAGCTGCTGCGCTTCGCTCATCCACTCTTAAAATTGCGGCTCAAGGCTTTCACTTGTTCTTGGGCCACGAAATTTGTAGTGTTTGTAGTGAAAGCGAGATAATGGGCCCTCGTACACAGTGGCTGGTATACGTGTCCCACATCTTGATTTTCTGGTCTTGTATCGAGTGAACAAGCAAGGCTTTTCTGATAAGCTGAGCTCGTTAAATACTACAACAGAAAAACCACAATGGTTCCCTTTTAACATCGTACACAGTAACAGAGGACAAGCTGTCAACAAACCGCGCTGCAGCACGTGAACTGCCTTTAGTTACCCAGGGAGGTACCCGGGCATGGCGGGAGAGGGCGACAACGGCGGAAGTGACATCACGTGAACACTATGTATAGAACACTTCACCTGGGAAGGCAACTTTTTAATGGTAACCGACTGGTAAGACGTGGATTGCATGATTCTGTTTGTCTGTTAATTTTTTCATTATTCTTTTTACAGTCAGAAGTCTGCCGAATGGCATACAAAGTTAAAGCGCGCTTATTTTTTTAAGAAGCACCTGAAGATTGATACTTTCACTTTTTTTTTAATGCTAACGATGAGGCCCGTGTACTCAGATATAGGTGCAGAACCGCAGTTAGTCAATATTTCCAAAGTCCTCTTCTAAGGAGTCTGTCATAATCACATCGTGGTTTCTGGATGCTGAAAAAAGATACACTAAAAACGAATTGTACAAAAAGATATTGTAATAGTAAAAGTTAAGATGTAACTGTAAAAAAAAAAACGGCAAGTGCGAATAGCTATATTTGGCTACAAATATTTTTGCCTTTTCTAATCTTTGGTTACATTTGGGCTACAGTTGCTTCAGATTTTTGCTACGTCGTCCCGTCCGACCTGGCAACACTGCTGTAATGTTTGGCTCGCATCATAGAGTTTCCTAAAATTAACTAGAGGGGACTCTGGCGCTGCGATCGTTCAGCGACCATGGAAATGATGGGTAGTACACACATTTGCCTAGTCTTCGTACTTGCGGCTTCGTTTATTGCTGTGTTTCAATTTTGTTTTGCAAGAAAGATTCAATGCTTTGGAACTTCTTGACCCAATTTGGAAAGGTAAGTTGAAAAAAAATGGCGTGGTTAAGTGCAATCGCTGAACATTTGCTGATTTTTGTTTTGTGAGAAAACAGCCTCAAGCCACACGAACACACGCGGAGCCAAAAGCAGGCCATAAGTGAGAAGTTTAGACAAATGTGTGTACTACCCATCATTCCCGGGCTCACTGAAGCCCTGTGCGTTGCAGCTCCTATAGACACTAGCGCCAGAGTTCCCTCTAGTGTATATTAGGAAACTCTATAGCTCGCATGTTCTCAAGAGCCTCGCGTCCCGATTGGCAGCATCTTCTGGCCGTGCGTATAGTGTTGCAGGACCGCTTTACACATCAGCTAGCTGGTGGCTCACTTGAGTTACTGTACTTGCCGAGTTTAGCCATGAATCTTGAGTCTCGCTTCTGATAATGTTGCCAGAATTGGGACAATCAGCTACCCCCCGCCCCTCCTTTTTTTCTCTCATATTTCCAACTACTGTAAAATCCTGAAAAAGCGCCCCAATCAGAGACTCAGATTTAAAATAAGCGGCTTCTTCCCTCCTACCATTTTCAGCTTTCCATGCACTGTTCTAATTGCCCGACGAGGCTAATGAAAACAGTGAGTGCATGCGTGTTCGGTGAAGCATTTCATTAGAAGCACGGGTGTTGTCACGAGTAAAGTGGCACGCGCCGAGTGGCAGTGCCACGGAAAGTTACCTGATGGTGTGCGCCCCAGCCACGTCCACGCACGCGATACGCCATAGAAGGGCCCGTAGCACGCGACCCGAGGTAGAAAACCACAGATGAAAAGACGGTAGAGTTCTGCAGAGCTCTGGACTGAGAAGGTCGCAACCGCGACGAAAGCAGCAGGCACCCACAACTGTTCTCGAGATATCTGGCATGAAAGCGGCCATCGGCGTCGGGTGACCCGAGTGTGGCTGCCCGGACTCGCCGCACCTCATCACAGCAGTTCCCGGTGCAGCAGTTCCCGGTCCAGGTCAGTTATTGGACGGACTACCCGTATTCAGCCGGGTCAGGTAGCAAAGAACGGCGGCCAATGACAAGTTAGGCCTAACTTGGCCAGACCGCAGACCACGACAGTAGGTCGTGCCGCAGGCAACAGGGACCTGGGACACGAGCGATGAGAACAAGCTGCTCGTTGGGCAGAAGAGACCCCGACGACGGCCGTAAGCACTTGCTGGGGACGTCGACGACGGAAACGACGACCACGGACGTACGGCATAGGCACGGAGCGTTGCACGGAGTCGACGGGGCTAACCGAAAGAATGTTAGCCGAAATCGCGCCAAAAAGCCATAGTGGCTAGAGCTAAAATTGACCGTAAATTGGATTGTGGTCAGTTTCGGTTTTGGTGTCAACTGATTTGTTGTGTGCATGTTTATTTTACGTGAATTGTGAGTGTGCTCAATGCCTCCTAGATTTCTCGTGCCTGCCGGATGAGCGCGAAACGCCGGTCATCTATAGCGGCGCTGCCTACGTAGGGGGTAAGGTCTATGTACTTGGCCTTTAAGACCGGCAATTTTGACGTTTGTTACAAGTTTTAGAGGATGCCTTGTATTAAAAAAGTTGTTTTTTGAGTGGCAGCGTCACTTTCGTAGAGTTAATTATAATTACGTTTACGCCTTTTTAGAACTTTTTAACGTTATTTTTATTGCATATAAGCTCTAAAAACGTAAAAACCTATTTCAAGACACTCCTACTTCAGTGACGCCACCACTGTAGTTCCGACGACCGCCGCTTCCCAAGTGACCGCCGATAATCCGGCAGGCACGGGAGATCTAGGAGGCGTTGGTGTGCTAAAGGGAATTTTGAGTGTGGTAAGAGTGCCACAACGGGCTCCCGTTTTTATCTCCCAATTCCATTCACATTGTATGCGCTCCCAAGATAATCGTGACATAATTGGCGAGCCTGTGCCAGTATTTTTGTATCTTTTGGCCCAGTCACCTATCGTCGGGATTTGCGAGGATTGATTAGAAGTTAGCAGCCGTGGCCAGGAACTAAAGTCTTTTTCACATGCCAAAGATTTTGCCGCAACAGCGGAGCTGCAACCATCGCACGATCCCAAAACTGGTTTTGAGAGCGTCTACCTCGCCAAAGTTCGAACAATTCGCTCTCGGCAAAGCGTCTTTAACTCGTTAGCGCTAGCCTACACTAGGCATCAGGGCGGCGGGCATCGCGCAAAAGCGGCGCTCGCATGTCATTGATTGGTTGATATGTGGGGTTTAACGTCCCAAATCCACCATATGATTATGAGAGACGCCGTAGTGGAGGGCTCCAGAAATTTTGACAACCTGGGATTTTTTAACGCCTACAGCATTTTTGCCTCCATCGAAAACGCAGCCGGGATTTGATCCCGCGACCTGCGGGTCAGCAGCCGAGTACCTAAGCCACTAGACTGAGCTCGCATGTCAAAAGCGGCGCATGTGAAACTAACTCGCGTTCGCGCCTCCTGCTGCCTCTCAGTCGCTCGCATGTGGAACAAGCCTTTCAAAGGGATCCTGCAAAACTTCTTGAACATGGTCATAAACACTGCCGATCGGTAGTAGTAAAGTCCCTAGATTTTTCCCTAAGAAATCTAGAGACTTTAGGTAGTAGGGACTCTTGAGAACACGCGAGCGTGGTCCGCCGGGGTGGAAGTACTGCGCCACGCCACGCCTGAACAGCAATTTGCACGCGCAACGCCAAATTTAGTCAAGAGTTTTATAGTCGGCCGAGCAACACGCGTGGGCTACACAAAGGACGCAACCGCGTCCATATAAAATTCCGTGTCCATATCAGGCGTCGTATTTTGGATCATGCATGAACCTTGCGCCACATGAGCACAATGCATAATTTTCGTTAAGGTAGCGTTTGTGTGCATATCTCAATAGGCGACTCTATGCGACTCTGTTTTAACAGCAAAGCTGTTAGGCAATTGCTATAAGGACGGCAGTGGTGTTGCAAAAAACTCGCCGCACCGTTGCCGAGCAACCGCTGTGCTCGGCGTTTGGTCGGCAACGGGGCAATGAAAATCAGTGTCACTGGCAAAGCGATAACTGCAATAGCAACAATTTGTAATTTTGATGCCACACGCGCTTCTTTCTTTCTATTTTTGTTGCCGCATCAATACGTGTGTCACGCTGCTTTGCGCAAACCGCGCCTGAATGACTGGAGACCATATAAATAACCTTATGGAACCTTCCGATGAGATTATGCGTATACAATGCGTACATTACGGTTTGTTTTTGGAACTTACGAGGTCGCTAGCGATAACGAATCATCGATGACATACGCATAAATGCTGACGCACTTTGTTGCGTTGCAAATTATCGACAGCTGACGCTCTATGTTCGCTGCAGCGGGTACTAGGTTAGCCCAAATAGAACACTCGATTGATTTGCAGGGTTTAACGTCCCAAAACTACGATATGATTATGAGAGACGCCGTATAGTGGAGGGCACCGGAAATTTTGACTACCTGGGGTTTTTGAACGTGCACCCAAATTTAAGCACACGGGCCTACAACATTTGCGCCTCCATCGGAAAATGCAGCCGGGATTCGATCCCGCGACGTGCGGGTCAGCAGCCGAGTACCTTAGCAGACCACCACGGCGTGGCCAAATAGTTCACTCATGAAAACAGCTGTTGCTGCCTTCGTCGATATCGCGACCCCGTGACTATGCGAAGGCTGGCAGATCTTTTAGATCCGACATCGCGACACTCACAAATACAAAACGCTGGTGTAAAATAGTAAGTACGTCCGCTCCAGAGAGAAATGTGCTCATAGCACTATCTCTTCCCGTTGAAAGCGCACCACGTAGCAAGGTTTACGAGCCGTGCGCTGATGCTTGCCGACATCGTGCACGCCAGCTATCGCAACCACGCCCTTGGTCAGATTCGAAGTTTACGCCTGCTGCTCGAGCGACCCCCCTTTCACCCGCGTCTTTTCATGCTCCTTCTGGACGGGCGGCGTGTTTCTTTCCTCTCTGCTTAAGCATTAAATGACGGTTCTAACACGCGGTAGGATGCTACCGCGTGCGCCCCCGCGAGTGACTCAGATCGGCCGGCTCGTTTAATCTCTGCTTGAGCAGCGCTCATCACCCCAGGTTGCGCAACTTTACGCGCGGGTTGAACGTACGATGCACGGGTATTGATACCAACTTATAGTTTACACGGAACATGGCGACGACGGCGAAAACCCGTCGATTGTCCATAATATCCCTAGCCTAATTAAAAAAAAAGTCACACTTTCGCCAAAAGGGCGAAGGCGCCGTTTCTTCGTCATCCCGTAGAAGCTCCCGCCTGTTTGTGTTCGCTCATGAGATAAGCGCGCGCGCAGACGACCCCGACCGGCCGGAAAGGGGGGATGTTCGCTCCGTAGATAGAGGAGGCTAGCGCATCCTTCATCGTGCGCGCGCGCGCGCGTGTGTATATATATATATATATATATATATATATATATATATATATATATATATATATATATATATATATATATATATATATATATATATATATATATATATATATATATATATATATATATATACGCGCACACGTGAATGAAGTCGGCGACGATGACGATGATGAGGGCAAAAAATCAGCCAAGACTGTTCAATATAATTGCCATTGCAATAAAAATTCACAAATTCACTTAATTACCTAGCAATGACACGACGAGCGCATCCCAACTTCTTTGAGGTTCTTATGTTGGCTGTGGCACTTCAATGAGCGGAACATATTATTTTTACATTTATTTTTCTAGAGCCCTATGGGTTTAGTGTGTAGACAACTTTTATTATATAGTAGCTCATTTCTAGTCTTGAGTTGCTGTTCAGTTGGATGCGATGTCTTGATCACATTTTGAACATTGCAACATTTAAACATAAATTTTTTTATTCGTCTGTGGTCTAGCAGTTGTCGGGATGGCCGCTTATGCTTTTTCTTTTAGTTGCTGCACTTTCACCTTTGATGTTGTAAAAATCTAAATTTCGAGTAAATCTGGTCGCTTGATCAGCATTGCTTGCATAGTGAAAACCTCTGAATTTTTTCGTGTTTACCAGAAAGCAAAAGTTGTAATTAACAGTGATGTGTGGCCCGAGAAATCTGCTGCAAAACTAAATTTCATGCTCCTAAACACACCTTTGCTGCTCCAAAACTTCCTCTTGACTGCTCTGTTGCTGCTGCAGAACCCCATTATTCCTGCTCCCAAAGCTGTTCCATAATACTGAAACCCGGCCCGTAATTCACAATAAATTATCAAATTCAACTGAAAATTGCTTTCGTTTCTCTCTACAAATGATGGAAGACACTCAAAAATCACTTGTAGGAGGCTATCTGTCAGCCATTGACCATTTCCACATGGTGCGTTGGGTCGTACAGGGATCGCCGCGGGAGGCCGCAACCTGTCCACGCTTGTGATCACACCAAAAAATGACGTATTCAAAGAACAAAGAAAACAGTGCTCAAGGTCACAAGGCACGTGTCACGTTTTTTTTTTTTTTTCCTGCCATCCATCCCTGCTTAGCTTCCAGCGCTTTGCTTGGGATGAAAGAAGAGATAATCGTTTGCAGTGTGTGACAAATCTTTGTAAATACGCTCGGACTGGACAGATTCTTAAAATTTTTGCGGCGTCGAATTCGTGAGGTAATAAGTTCTTGTAGTGAATCCATTCTATGGTTACTTGATAAAGTGTTTCAGGCTCTCTTTAAAGAGACCAACAACTGCCCTGAACATGAAATGGGATGACTGCACGGATGGAAAGATTGTCCCGCATAGTGACTCAAACCAACCCTATTTTTGTTGTGAGAAGTGGAGTTGTATTTTTATTTATTCATTAAAAATTGCGACAATAGTCTGTGGCACCACCCGGTGGCGGAAACTTCAATCATCCGAGCTGCCCTGTCACATAATCGTAAACTAGTGTACGCGCTCAACAATTTTCCTGTTAGTATTGAAATATTGTTTGCTTCTTCATAGTAAAAGCTATTACTCCATAAAAATGTACTTGTAGGCCTGCATTAGTAGTGCACAATAAAGTGGCGCTGCCTTCACATGACGTAATGATCCCGTGCTCACCAGCACATCTTGAGCAACTTTTTTTACATGCTCATGAAACCGCGTACGCAGTTTCCAGGTCGCTAAATTTTGGAGTGACGTGGTTCTTTTACCTAAACTTTGTATCAGAAATGACGCGCAGTGATGTTTTCGATGGCTTGACTTGGCTTGTGTGTTGAGAGAGTATTGACGACGGGACAAGCCATCCACGACACAGGCACACGCAACGTGGTACAAATACAGCGAAGCTGTATAAAGCCACATCGTCTCATTGTAGCGGCTCGTTACAATGAGACAAGGAAGAAGGGCAAGTAGTGAAAGGCAAACCCAGGAGATGCTTCCAGTTAAGCATATAGTGGTAGCTTTAGAGGAACTTGCACAAGAGCAGAGAAGAGATAAAACCCTGAGGTATGCAGTTACCAGAATCGGGTATAAACCAAAAAGAGAAGGCTAGAGAGATGGTGTAATGTATGAATCTAGTAAGGATATAGTATTCCAGAAGTTTTGGAAAAATGGAGCTGTAAATAGACAAGTGATTGTGCCAGCACACCATAAGCAGGGCATTTTAAAGAGTTTCACGAAGCGAATGGGAGTAGAGATTCCAAAAGCTTACGCAGGAAAGTGACACTGAAAGACATTGCCAGAAAAGTTGCGAATGAGGTGTCATCATGATGTTGTGAAGTTGCGTAGAGATAATGGACTTGTGGATCCTGGACAGTGAATTATGTGAACAGTGAGAGTGTATCTGTGATGTGTTAGTGCAGTGAATTGTGTTAGTGTGGTGGTATGACGAGTAAAAGCATTTGGCGATGGAAGGTAGTACACCAGCCTGCACACTAGTGATTAGAGCTTTGTCACCAGCTGAAGACCAGAAGGCTGCATCTCTAAGGAGGAAGAGATGAGCAGTTTTGTAGAGAAAACACATCTAAAACGGGGGCATATGTCATGAGTAAAAGGGCACGCAATTGGTCACAGAAGGGCTTGTGGCACATTAGCTGTGATGGAAAACCACAGAAGATGAGACGGCACTGTTTTTTGGAGCTCCCAACATAGAAGGTCTAGAAAGTTTGTATCGCAACCACAACGATAGCAGCAAGTGCTCATTTCTGGAGGTTGCCGGCCTGGAAGGACTGGGAAGTGGCACGAGACTTTGACATGGCATACACACAGAGTTGATGGCGCAAACTGTAAAATCATCTGGCTAGGGCTAGAGTGAACCCTAACTTGGATTGTTAGTTTTGGTTTCGGTGTTAAAATGATTACGGTAGCAATGTTTATTTGAGATGAATCTTGAGTATTTGGTTACTTTTGCCGTTTTTGTGATGAAGAGGGTCTGCTGTGCCACCACGGTCTCCCGTTTCTCCCTCCCAATTCTATTCACGTTGCAAGCACTGCCAAGGTAATCGTAACAGGCGTGCATTTTTTATTCTTAGCTTTTCCTCTGCTGCCATCTTGCTCTTCAGCCCCCCCCCCCTCTTCTCCTCCAAATCTTGTCAAGTCATCCTTCACCGTAGGGGGTGAAGGAACTGGATGGGGCCCAACATACAACAAGCATATGTTGAGGCCGATCAAAATGCAGTCACCCTTAAGCTTAGTAGTGTGACACGTCACCTGCTAAGCTGGCAAGGCAGATGACATAATACGTCACTATAAATGCATTGCCAGGTGATACAGCTGTGCTCTCTTTCAGTCCATCAGATAATGGTTGCATGCTTATTGTAACCAAAGAGCACAACTCATTCATTTAGCACCAGGCTTTCGTCTGGCTTAACTGGTTTTTGTTATATGGAAAGTTATTTGGGAAGTAGCAATGACAGCTGGTCATACCTGTCTAGGTATTAATATATTCATCATTGAAAGATAGGTTGATGAGGCATATTTTGCGATATACCGTATTTACTCGATTCTACCGCGCCCTCGATTGTAACGCACACCCGATTTCCACCGCGAAAAAAAAAAAAAAAACGTAAGACATCGATTGCAACGCGCACCCATTTTTTCTCGCTGGCCCGCACGATCACGCCACTCGAAAAAACGACTCCTTTCGGGAACGTCTTCCATTTAAATATGAGGTACGGGCGAAGCTTGTGCCCATCTGACGTGTAACAGAGCATTGCCGTCACTTTAGTTTTACCGTGGACCGATGTCAGCACGCGAACTTGCTTCGCCCCCTTCTTCTCGACGGTTGTGGTGCCAGGCATGTCGAAGTAAAGAGGCGTCTGATCGGCATTCCCGATTTGCCCAAGCAGGTAGCCGTTGTTGCGCCGCAAGTTTAGGACAAACCTCTGAAAACTGAAGCTCTTCATCGTACTACTCCGCAAAACTTTTTGCATATGCATGTTCCCCTTTGGAGGTAAAAGCCTTTTCTCTTCATAAAGTTAGTTAGCCAGCACCTGCTGGCTTTAAACTGGCTCCGCATTAGACCTTTTTAAAGACTAATTGCATAGCCCGCACTTGGAGCAGTTCTGTCGTCACGGGCCGCTGTGCCGCTCGCTGCTCAAGCACATACTCGCCGAACAGCTCTTTAATTTGCGGAAACCGACCCTGCTGTGGTCCACTGAAGCCTTTGCGCGAAGCTTTGCTGTCGACAATCTTCTGCTTTTGTTTTCGCCGGTCCCGCACGCACGTTTCGAGAACTCCGAACAACCGCGATGCGGCCCGATTTCCGTCCGTTTCTGCACACGCGATGACTTTTCTTTTAAAAGCGGCATCGTGGTGCACTCGAGTTTTTGGAGTCGGCCCTTCCAAGCCGTCGATGCTAATGCACTACTAGATGACCAACTCCTCAGCAAACGTACGAAGTGCCGCACATGAGAAACACATAGGCAGAAATGGGCGACGCGCCATGCCGACGCACATAGGGGGCGGCCATTTTGGATTTGCCGATGGCAATAGATTGACCGCAATTTTTTGGTTCGTACTCGATTCTAACGCACATGCGATTTATGAACTCGCTTAACCGGAAAAAAGGTGCGCGTTAGATTCGAGTAATTACGGTAATATATGGGGCTTCTAGGCTTATTCAGATACTTTGAGTCGTTCAATCTAATTTGCCACTGCATTGCGTGCAGTTAAGAATCACTAAAAAGTGTCGCTGAAAGTTGAGCAGTAGTGTATACGTCACTTTGCACTCATGTGTGCACTAAAGCGTCAGTATGCTCGTCTATTATGCAGATGCAAAGTTCTTAAGTCATACTAGCCATGCAACTTGTAGATAAAACATGCCTTAGGGTACAAGATATCCTATTACTTGGCAACATGAACACAATTGTAGACGTTATGATATTTTATGCTCACACTCATCTGGAGATCCATCCCACTTCATACACGATGCATGTTCAAATAAGCAAGGTAATAACAGTTTTTTTGTATCTGTGTGTTTTTTCTTGAAGTGGCATTGTGTGCTTTCAGGAGAAGCCGTCAGCTGAGCCTGGCAACCCTCGCAGAATTAGCACGTGGGCAGGCAGGAGCGTTGTCTGTTGGAAGCCTCACACAATACCCAGGTGAGCTCCTGCACTTTGCATCCACCTTTCATCTGTGGCGTTTATTTTTATCAGACTGTGCATTCAATGCCATCTTGTATGCTTGCACCCAAGTAGAACACATTCCATGTTCACCAATTCAGTGATTCTGCTGAAGCTAGTACAGCCAAACCTCTATTTAACAGTAACAGCGTTAAAGAACCCAAGTGGTCGAAATTTCCAGAGCCCTCCACTACGGCTCTCTCATAATCATATGGTGGTTTTGGGACGTTAAACCCCACATATCAATCAATCAGGTACCGCGATGTACTAGGTACAGCAGCTACGGGAGGTGGCTGGTTCGAATCCCACCGCTGGCACCCACCGGTTTAAGAAGCATGGGTACAGGCATCCCCCTTACTCGACGCCAGGTTGTCACAGGGGTCGTAATGCCTGGAAGTGGTGTGTGTGAAGTCGCGCCTTGCAATGCGTTGGTTCGAACTGGTCGAAATGCGCCCCGGTATAAGTGTTAGTGGTTGTCCTTCTGGCTGTCCTATATGTGTTACCGCGACATTCCTTTGATTCCTCTTCTTGAGAGCTCTGTGCCTGTGTTGTTTCTCTCAGCTCCAAATGGCCTGGGTGCCGACTTCCTTCTGGACGTGGTGCTGTCTGAAGGCAAGCAAAGCCCTTCGTGGCAGGGTCTCCTCAGCCAGCTGCTGGTGCTGGGGCGGTTGGTCGAGGAGTTTCCACACTTGCTCGCCTCACCCATGGCCAACACAGGCACTATCAACGCCGAGTCACTGGTCGCCATCGACCTGGCTGTCCGCGCAGTGCGTCCCTGAGTTGTTATTCTTCACTAACGGTCTTTGAAGGCTCTGACTACCAATTCTTATGACACCTGTTCTTTTTAATGCAACAGAAATGCCGGTCAGTCTCTATTTGTGGAGTGGTAATTCGAAAAATTTTGTCACACAATTAATTAGTATATTTTAAACCTTTTCTTGAAGTGACTGTAGAGTAATATACACACAGCACATGCTGAAAACTGTGATTTGCTGTGCATGCACCACTTCTAAGCATGCCACTCTTTTCACTTCATCAGCAGTATCAAAGAGAGTGGAGTAGATAGATACTAATAAACTTACTCTAAATTTGAGCACTAATTATGGTGGACATGTAAGCAAAGTGTGTACAGCAAAGTGAACGGCTTCAAATCGAGCTTCACGGCTCTTCTGCTAGGCAAAGCGAGATGCAATTTTTTTTTCTTAACTTTAAATGTGATTTAACATTGGAAGTTCTAGTCTGATCATGAAAAGAATGCTTGGATCTGTCATGGTTTTTTCACTTCCATCAGAATATCTAATGACACATTCTGGCCAGTTGTCGATCTCATTAATCTAGGTGTCTAATTAAGGGTATGCTTGTATAAATGCTTACAGTTAAGCTTGTGTAAATGTTCAAGCACTTTGAATGTTTGGAAGAATATTAACATATTTGAATTTGCTTCGATTCAAATTTAAATTATTGGGAATTTCTAAGTATTCAAAATGAATGAATAGGTGTATATTAATCCAAATGTAACCCTCCTGTAAAATTGTTGCGCTGAAGTAAAGAAATGCTATACCATGAATACAACCTTCCAAAAAATCTGCACTGCCGCAAAGCTTCACTTTAGTGTTAAATTAACATATAACTCTCACAGTGAGTTCTTCTTTTCTAACTTTAAACTATGGCTGTGCTGACTTATGTGCTTTAAGTATTGTCAGATTTAAAATTTTAAAACTTGACATATTTTAAAGGTTATCACTTACTTTCGAAAGTCAAATCCTGCTACTATTCAATGTTGCTTCCAATTCCCTTTGAACCAAAAATAATAATATTTACACATTCTTTGTTTGAATATAAAAAGAGAATGTGCAGGTCAGTTAGGTTATAACAAAAATTGAAATTTTTCTTTAAAGCATGTGATATATATTATTCAAAAATATTTGAACCAAACTGTTATTTGCTTCGATTTATCTTCAAACCTAAAATTTAATATTTCCACAAGCCTACTAACAATCAATAATAATGATAATTTTATTTGCATGCCAGTGGCCATTCCCGTGATGCAGTAAGATTTGGAAAGGACATGATTTTTTTTCATGAGTAGTGTGCCCCATAGCATTGTGCATGTTAACTACAAAGTGAAGGAGTGCAAAGGCCCTGCTCCTGAATCTGATAATGCATTATGTGTGTGCGTGTGTATGTGAACATGCACGCACACACACTCAGCTGCTTTATGTTCCCAGTGTCGTCACTTTAAAGTAAACTTATGCAAAACATTACAAGTCTTGGTCATAAAAAAGCAAAGTCGCTGGGCTAAAACTCGAAGGAAAAGAAAAAAACACGAGCAGAAACAGCGGATTTCCTATGCTCCATAAAAGAAAATGATTGGTGAAGTACAAAGAGGGTAGAAGAGCAGTAGTATTGACTAGAGAGCAACATATTTGCACAGCGCAGGACTACGAGTAGTTACGACTCAACTACAAAAGAAGAGTTATGTAGTTATGTCGTAACTACTCGTAGTCTTGCGCTGTGCAAATATGTTGATTCCCAATCACCAACTAGCCCAAGCATCTGTCTTATCAAGACTAGAAAGCAAACAACTGCAGCTGTTAATATGATGGTGCCAGCAGCGCCGCATGGCTGCAAGGTTAGGTGGGTGCTCAGGAAACAGTAGGGAGTCTCTTTAGAAGTTTGGCAGTGTGCGTCGGTGGAGGACGACACTGTGGGTCGTTTTCCATGAACCCCTCGTGGTGAGCTTGTCATGATGTAAAAGCAGTGATTAAATGTACAAGTGTTTGGTTTTCACAACCGCGTAAATGTCTCCGTCTGCTTCGAGAGCGGGCTCTTGAGACCCCCAAAAAAGTAATCCACATTTGAATCAAAGATCAAACTCAAACTAACTGTAAACTCTACGACAGGTGGGGCACAGTCACGTGACTGTGATTCGCCAGGGACGTCACCTGCTAGCCGGCCTGGCTCGCCTGTGCGGCCGCTGCCCCACGTCGGTGGCCCGCATCTGGAACGGTGTGTCAGCTCTACAGGGACCACAGCGTGCCCAAGTGGTGCGACTCGTGGGTGCAGCGTTGCAGGAGGCTCGCAGAAGCCGTCTTTTCTTGTGTGCAACACGCTCTCCGTCCGTTGAGAGGCAGCAGGTTCGTTAACTGGCCAATGTTTACCACACACCATGATAAAAGGCATGTAAATAACCAATCATATTTCAGATGTTGTTCTTCGAGCTGAAGGAATTGTGTCTCGTGCACCTGGAAGAGAGCATTGCAGTTGAACCCCTTTTTAGGAGACACGCACTGGGCAGCAATTTTTGTCTTTTATTGAGGTGTCTTACAAGCAGAATACAACGTGTCCATTTTCTTATCAACCCCTATTTCACTGAAGGAACACTGGTGTCTCTTATACCCATTTATCTCTTACATTATTGTCTCTCATGAAGGGGTTTAAGTGAATGAAGTTTCTCAGTGTGAAACTCCCAATAATAGGATCCAGCATTTATAAAATCAGTTTGAATTCGTGTGTATTTACAGGAAGGCTTCCAAGAGCCATTTGCCATAGGCACAACCTTTCTAACACCATAGCTTCAAAAAGTGATAACTAATATTTTAAGCATCGTCTAGCAACGCATTTGTTATGATAATTCTACATACCCTACCTATTAAATTGTTCTTTTCATTTCTTTGTTGTTAATTTTGTGCAATGGTATATTACATAATTTTTTGGAGTAACCACATTATGTTGCATTCATTTTGAAATTATGTGCCGTTTGTATTTCAATGCATAAAATTTTAATGTATAACGAGTTGTCATTGTCCTAAGTGCATTTTTTTTGCCTAGTTTTTCTGTATATCATCTAACATTATGTTAATTTGCATTATTGTATATACCTCTGTAACTTTTTTCTTGTTCTTATTCTTTATACATATTTATACCCATTTCTTCTGTTTTCAAGTTACTGTACACATTCTGAAGATTTTATCGTATTAACCCCCTTATGCAATATTTTTAGGGGCCTGTAAGGTACTTTTCAATACGAGTAAAATAAAGAGGGCATGCATTTGAAGGCTGCAGTGTTCTTCATCGTTTGGTCTTTAAGCATAGCTTTGTGTAGAAAAATAAGGAATTACAGGATAAGCCTTGCGAATGCAGGCATGGTGTTGTTGGAGAGCACTAGAAGGTTCTCCAATTCGTTACTGGTCATAACCAGGTTGATGGTAATACACCGACAATGAATTGCAGGAGGAGCACCTTGTCCGTGAGCAGCTGCTTCACACCAAGAAGAACTGGGCGAGCAAGGATGATGAGGAAGAAGAAAGCTGTAATGGCCAGAGACCAGCTACGCTGGCCAACAGCCCATCGCGTTCCGCCGCCACCTTCCAACTGCCACCTCCTACCATCGACCCGGCCTTGTTTGGCCAACTGGTCCAAGGAGATGCTTCCGCACCCACTAGCGAGGCAAGTTACTTGGACCATAAGTTTCTCCTTCTAAAGTGTCGGATCATTTCAAATGCGGAGGGCTTTAGGAGACCGGGCTGTCATATCCTGTGATGTGCTGTCATCACGGCTTAATAAGACATTAAAGAACAAAACAATTTTTGTGTATTAGTAAAGTACGATTTCACAATCACGAAACCAACACTCTTACCGTGACACAACGCTTAGTAAGCGAGAAAACACACCCTAAAAATGCGAGTCGGAGACACCACCTTGAGGTTCCTGCACCAAGCACCATGACATTATAGATTATGAAGGTGTATACTGAGCCCTAAGTAGTGACCGATTTTTCGGACTCCTAAAATTTTGACTTCAAAAATGCGTCTGTAAGGGTTCCCATAGAGCTTATGCATTTTCTCGACTGACTTTTCAGACAAATACGCCCTCAGAAAGTTGGATTTTTCGAACTAAAACGCTTGTTTTGAGCTGTGACATGAACCTGTAAATATGCCACCATGTTGGACTTTCCGCCGACTTGACTAACTTGGTGGCTTGGTTTTAAAATGGCTTTTCTGCCTCCGAGATTGGAAAGCGCACATCATATTTCAAGTTTCAGAGGCCTTGTCTGCTTTAGAAAACGCAGCACGGTAACATTTTTTCGTTTTCGGTCAGCACAGTGGTCAGCACTATCGCCATTGCACCATACCAGGAGGAGGCAGAGTGAAGATTCTTTTATTTATTGTCGCAGCAGTTGCAGCTTGCCAGCTTGTTTCAGTCACCATTTAGCGCGTGTTCTGTCGGGTCGGATCGAGACGTTGTGTGCTTCGCAACGGCTATCTGCGGCATCGAATTTTGTGTGCTCGAACTCAACGCCATGGCTCTGCCATCTGTACCATCCCGAGAGCCAGGTGGTGCGAAGAAGCATGGGAACTATACGACCATGACGCTGAAGAAGAAAGCTGCAATTATCAAGTTAATAGGGAGTGGACGGTCACAGCTTGATGTCGCCAGAGAATACCACCTATTGAAGCAAACAGCATCCGACTATGTCAAAAACCGAATGAAGACTTTGACAGCGTTCCAGAATTCATACAAGAGCCAGAAAAATGACAGCAAGGCGAGTGTTGGCAAAGAACCTGCCCGTGTAGGAAGATTTGTTGAAGGAAAAAGCGGACTCATTCGCACTCAAAATTGGCATTAGAGGGATACTGAACAAAAATTAATGAAACTGACAAAGTTTCTAAATTCCACTCGGAAGATGCCAGTTTTCTGATAAACGGCATTTATTTCTCGTATTTTTGAACAGTTGGCTTGTATTTTTGATGGATTGTGAGCGCTGCGGCGGCTGCTCGCGAGCACAAGCAGCGACGTCGGAACTCACCAAAGCGCATGCAGGATGCATGTGTTCCTGTCCTCCTCTTCCTTTTCTCTACCTCTCCTCTCATCCCACTCTTTTGCTTCCACAAAACTGCTGGCTCTTTGCCCCAGCCGGAAGCATTGTTCGCTGCTGTTGCTGTTCATACCAGTTCTGGGAACCGAAGTGGAAGATGAGCGATTCGAGAGACTCTGGCGATGGCTGGCATTGTTGGCTTGCCAGTTTCCTGTGAGTTTGGCATCACCCAACGTCACATCCTCTAGTTCACCACGCTGCCGCTAGACGCGACAGTTTGTGAACAACGCATTGAATTTGTTATTTTCCCATAGTTTCTGCTTGAAATTAAGATTTTCTCTAGTGACTTCAGGATCCAACCCATCGATTTGGCTGAAAATATTGGTGGCAAATAGTTTGTTCAGTATTCCTTTAAGGATTTTAAATTCACTGATGGATGGCTTTGCGACTTCAAGAAGAGGCATAGAATTCCATTAAAAAAAAGTGTGCGGTGAAAGCAGGGTGGTCGACCAGACTCTTGTGTCCGATTACTGTGTCAAAATCCTTGCTTAAAGAATACGCTCCTTCGGACATCTTCAACTGCGCTGAGACGGAACTGTGCTTTAAGATGCTCCCGGACCATACGCCAGCATTCCAGGGAGAATCATGCTCTGGCGGAACGTTTAGCAAGAAACGCTCAACAGTAATGGTAGGTGCCAACGCCACGCCACCGGTACAAAAAAAAAAAAAAAACTGCCTCTTTTTGAAATTTTGAAGGCGAGAAATCCTAGGTATTTTAAGGCAGTCAAGACCCTCCCTGTGGGCTATGACAGTAACTCCAAGACGTGGATCACGCAGTCTTTATTTGAAAAATACCTACGCAAGCATGACCGCTAGCTTGTGCAGCAAGGCAGGAAAGTAACCGAACCTCGAAGTCATTCGGCTGGAATTTTCATCACCTAACATCACAAGCATGCTCCAGCCAATAGATCAAGACGTGATCCGAAACTATCAAAACACACTACTGTGCCGCCTTGCTCAGCCGCACCATCTTGTGCCTTGACAATGGGAAGGTCTACAAGGTCGACATTCTGGCTGCCGTCCGTATGTTGCCGAAGCTTGGAAAGGCGGTGAAAGCAAACACTGTTGAGCATTGCTTAGGCATGCCGGGCCGGGTTCGTTGCTTGTGAAGAGCCTGAGGCAGGATGACCTGGATGTAGGCGATCTGGACAGCACCGATGGCAGGGGTGGACTAATGGCGCAACCTGCGCAGTGGTGGAGTAGATGTGCCTGCCACGATGAAATTTAGGACTTTGCTTGTGCGGACGATGACATTGTTTCGTGCGTGGAGCCCACAGACGAAGAAATTCTTAGCCAGGTTGTGCCGCAGTTGGAGAGCGGTTCAGATGATGACGACAGAGATCGCCACTGCGGTGATGCTTTTGTCCAGCATTTATAGTGACGATGTCACCTTGGCACAAATACGGGCGAACAAAACTGCTTCCAAGCGTAGTATGAGGCAAGGCAGAATCATGGACTTTTTTAAGCCTGCCTGATACAATAAAGTCAATATTTTTGACAAAAACTAATTTTTCGGGCTGTTCGATTTTTCGGACTTTTTTCCGGTCCTTGCTGGTCTGAAAAATAGTCTGCGACTGTATACAAGACAAGCGCGAACAACTGCCACACTTCTTCCCTAGCCATGTGTCAGCACATGGATGATGACGATGATGATCGGCTGTAGCCGTCGGCAGCAGAGATCGCACCCGCGGTGACGCCTTTGTCGAGCATTTACGGTCTTGTGATAGTGAAACATATGACATTAAAGTTCACAGAGTGGAGTTTGTCAATCTCAACCAAGTCATTGTTCCTCTTTAGTGCCCCTTTAACAATGCCGATGTAGAATATTGAGTGGGGACTTGTGCCCAAGAGAAGTCTCCTTCTCCTCGTTCTTCAAGCGCCTTAACGATAATCACTTATTGTCATAAAAACAAACAAACTAGTGTGTCTGGCACAACACAGACAAAACCATGTATAAAACTTAAAAAAAAAAGATGAAGCAAGCATGAAATAGAAAAAAAAATAATGAAAATAGCAAGAAAGAAATAACGAGGGAGGAAGAAATAAATTGCATTAAAGAGAGAAGAAAGACAGAAAAATAAAAAATGAGTAAAAGAAAGAGAGGAGAAGAAGGAAAGCAAAGAGAAACAAAGGAGGCTGCCCAGATTTGCACTTTTTTCAGGCTTGGCACCCCCAGCGCAAAGCTGCCTTATTTTTTTTTTTCCATTTCGCACCAGTCCAAGCCAAGTGCTTTTGATGCAAAACATGACCGCGCACTAGAACACAGTTTACAACCATCAAACTTTCCCTTTGCCTTCGGACTCGGTCCTACTTTATAACTGTTTTTCTGATAACGAGTATCTCCTCTGTACCACATGGACACAAAAGAACAGTCAGCATAGTTGGATAGCGAATGAGGGCATTTGATTTCCTTGCTAGGCTCATTGGTCACGCAGGACCATTGGTTGCATCTTTTGCAGACCAAAGCGACTGACAAATCCCTGCCAGAAGATAAAGGCAATGTACCAACGCCAGAGAAGCTTGCCGACAGCCAACACTCATCGGGTCGGTCGTCCTGGTCTTCAGAGACATCGTCCTCCGAGAAAAAGGTCATCGTCATGACAGAGAAGCTGACGGGACCTGCGGTACCACCTCAACGAGCCCCGCGGAGCAGGCCCAACTTTCTACCGCTCCGGCGGCTGGCGTGTTCGCTGACGTCCCTAGGCCAGGGCCACCAGTCCTCGGCACAGACAACACCGGGAAGCGCAGTTACCTCGCCGGTGTCTTTCAGTCGAGAAATTGCAGCGCTGCCAGTAGCCAGAGCCTCATCTAAGAAGGGGGAGGTCATTAACCAAGGTGAGCCTTATCTGCATGCACAATTAATTATGCAACATAAAAAACATCATTTCAGTGCAAAAAGGACAAACTCATGAGAGGCAAGGTCATGTTGCCTCTCATGTGTTTGTCTTTTTTAGCGCTAAATCACGATGCCGTCAAGTATTCACCAACTCACCAATCAACAAGTTCCTATAATGCACAACCTAGTTGCTTCTGATGTCATGACACTGATTTAATGAATGCAAGTCATTTATTTATGAATAACTGAGCATTTTGAATCTCGTTGTCAATGCAGTCAATGTAAGAAACAAGAGAACAAGAGAAACAAGTAGAGCACTGAATTATTAAAGAGACTAAAGATTAAAGAGATTAAAGAGAATAATTAACAGAGAAACGATTGTCCCCTAATTAGTAGTAAATTTACCCTTTCAGGATTCGATAATAACCTCGCTTACCACTAGACGATGGTGGGTAAGCGAAAAAATGCACAAAAACAAACTGCGAGTGGTGATGCCACTGTCAAATCCTCGTGCCAAACGTCGTAATGTCATATATTTCGACTGCATCTGCTAGGCCTTATGTAGCTCCTAACCAGTAAGAATTAAAGACATTGTTCTTCGAGGTGGCCGTAGACATTACGTAGGAAGTTCTAGAAAACGCCATCGAACCAGTGTTGCCAAAACACACAAATTGCACTTTGACATCCACTACATTACGTGTGACGGTGAAGTGCGAGGTTTGAAAGTGGAACTTTTATCTCGATTTTCCCCGGCTCTTCGAAACACATGCATCACGGACTTTTTGGGGCAAAAAAAGTTTGTGTTTTCACTCGCAACTTTTTTAAAAGCCTGTTTCATTTACTACGAACTTCGGCATACAGCGAATGGATGCCGCGTGATGCTCAGGTTCGTTATAAGCGGGCTCGACTGTATACCGGGTGTTTAAAAAAATCTGTCAAACAGTGTTTAAGAATGAGCAAAAAATGTTATTTGCTCACTGTGCTTACAGTTGCTTTTTTTATGGCGGCAGGCATCTTAAGAGGGTTCAAGACATCATTTGGAACAGTAATTAGGAAAGTCAATTTAATTAACTTTCTAAATAATGGAGTTAGGCAGCCAAATGGGAGAATAATTATTCATGTGAAGAACCGATTGCCGCTTTGAGATTTCGGAAAAGCGGTGTCTAGAAGTAGCTGCAAATTTATAAAATTCTCCCCAATTCTGTGGCGAAACCGAAACTCGAAAGAGCAAAACTGAAATAAGAGAATGTTATATCAACCGTCAACCGAGTTTGTTGTGCGGGAGTGTGGGTTGCGCTTGCAATTAGAACACGCATGATACACATGTGTTAACGAGCGGAGAAGAACTGCACCCCTGTAACCGCCATTTTGAACAGTGGCAGCCGTTTTGAACATCCAAATAATGTCTTCGACCCTATTAAGATACGCTATTAAGATAAGAGCAAATAGCATCTTTTGCTGATTTTTAAACAATATTGGACACATTTCTTGAAACACCCTGTATATCACCCTACTCCTCCTGCTTTATGTAACCCAACCCAGGGCCCTTAAGGGATAATTAATGATGATGATGAGGGGCTAGCACTCAAATGCTTGTGTGTAGCTGATGTTCACAGAGTGGTACACTATGTAATTTTTCGGTCAAAATTTCGTAATTGCTATGTTATGTTTCATTCTGATATAATTCATCTCGATTAATACGTTATTTTTTCTCTCTTTTTTTATATTGTAATATAGGACCCCCCATGGTATCAACAAGGGGCTGCGATGGCAAGACAGTGCACCTTGAAGAATCAGCTTCTGAAGACGATGCCCAAGACAATGAATTCATCATCTTCAAGTCTGTGGTGAGTCTTGCATCCCTTTAGTTGGGACCCAGCTTAAAAAGACTGTTTCACTTGTTTAACTTGTTTCACTGTCACAGCGTTATAGGTTAGGACTCTTTCACGAGCATTTATCATTGGTATGCCTCATTTAGGTGTAAATATAGCTTAAGCGTATTCTCATTGTTCATGGTGAATGACTAACAATAGCAACTACAGCTTCTTAACAAGCTGATGAGGGTAATAAAGAAAGCATTTTTTTTCGGAGTCGTCATGTTGAGCATGTTCATGCGTCCATGATGACAAGAAGTTATAGCACCTGTTGCTCGACGTTTCCAGGTACACCACATGTGCATTGTGTTGAATGTGAGCTCCATTTACTGGATCGTGATTAAATTCTCTCATTCCAGAAGTATTACACCTATGACTACACCTATGGTCATCAAGAACCCAATATTACACGCAATAAAAGCACCTCAGTGCTACATAATAGATGCTAGCATCTATAACGTAGGCTGATACAATCAGAACTCTTGGTGAACAACTTTTACCCACTAAATGCTAGATTTTATCCTGTTCTTAATATTTAGTTAAGGGTATTAACCAAGTTAAAAGGAGTAGCCATAGCCCACAAATGGCGACAACTCCTACATTCATTTCAAGAGCAGAGCTCTTTAAGGGACACGAAAGAAGAACATTGATTTGGCTTGGATTGACAAAATATACTCCGAAGACTGAAATTCCGTATGTTTCACTATCATAAGTTCATTGTTAGCAGAGAAAATCAAGGTTTAAAATTTCTCTTTTAAATTTCCCGCCATAATATCTGCAGGTGACGTAGGAAATTTCAAAATGTATTTTTGGCATTATCATGGTGGTGGCTCGATGAAATTTTTTGAATCTTATTTTATGGCACTTACAGATTACAATGCACTTCATTTTTATTCATTGGAAGCTACGTAGGACCCAGTAGACGCCTTTGAAATTTCTTACGTCACAGTGTTTGGTGCCAGAATCTCAAGATGGCGTAGCCACCCGCATTTTCTTTTCGAGCGTTTTATCGCTTACTAAGCGTTGCATCACAGTAAGAGTGGTATTTTTGGGATTGTGAAATTGTACTTTACTAATACGCCTAAAATCATTTTGCTTTTTAGTGTCCCTTTAAGCTTTTCGTTGCACTGGGTAGTGCATACAGGAATTATCATCATGGACCTGTGCGCGCTTGAATCGTTCTATTCAACTTCTGCTTCACCTCCAAAACACAAACACCGATTTCCCCAGCATGTAGGCTGGAATACAAAAAATATGATGGGCAAGTCTGTTGCGTGACTGAAATTCACGGAGCACCATGCAGGACTAGTCACAGGAATGAAATCGCGTAACATCACTGAACTAGTAACACGACTAAAAATTGCGTAACATCATGTAATAAGTCACATAACTAAAATCACACTACATCCCATAATAACTAGTCACGTAACTATAAATCACGGAACATCTAGTCACATGACGAGAATCGCGTAACAACCCACATGCCTAAAAATCACGTAGCATTTCGTCACATTGCATATTCCCGCCAAAAACTATGTAACAGCTAACCACGTGACTAAAATCATGCCATGTAACAGAAGTCACATGATATGTCTAACATAGTCTAGTGATACTTAGTACTACTACCAGCAAAACTTGGGTAGTTCGAACACTAGCTCTGCTGATGGTTCGAGCCTTGCGTCATTAGTGCAAGCTTCACACTTTTTTGATCTTGATAAAAAGAAAGGGGAACGCTATGAAGTCAACAGTTGGTTTTGTTGATACCCTTTTGTTTGTGTGTAATGGACACCCTTTTTTGTTTGGTTTGGTTTTATTTTAGTACTTACAGTACCCATTGGAAGCGTTATCGAGTAGCTGATAGGGAGGGCACTAAATATTTATACGAATTCATACGCCATCTATTACCCTTTTCTTTTCCCGGTCCCCTCCCCACGTGTAGAATAGCAGGCTAGAGCATACTATCGCTCTGGCTGACCTCTCTGTTTTTCTGCGAATAAAGCTCTCTCTCTCTCTCTCTATAGTATATATACGAAATCAGTTTGAAGATAAAGCAATATAAAATAAAACTAATACATCCAGCAATGTGTATGTTAAACATCACAAACAAAACACTGCAATTAATGAACATAACAAAATTTGTATAATAACATATACAGCAAAAGCTTGTTTACTAAAACTCAAAAGAAACTAAAAACTATTCTAATTAGGCAAAGCTCAAATTAGCAGGCGGGCATCATAAAGAACCGCATCGTGCCACACTGTGCCGGCAGTACCTAAAAAAGCCACTTCTAGACTCATCACGAATTAGGTGCTACTACACATTTGTGACAGGTGATTCCGTAAACTGGGTTCATGGAGCTTCAACACCGAGCACAAATTGATTTTGCACTCAGTGATAAGCAGGGAAGGAGCACGGACGTGCACTCATGTGAGTCTTGAGCCATGCAGTCAAAATATATGTTGCTATTTATGCTCCAAATGACGTTTATACATGACAAAGATAACACAATCAAAATTAAATGTAACTAGTAATCTGCATTTGCTTGTGTTTCTTCTGCTGCAACACTATAAGCACCTTTCGCAGCTTTCTAAAAGCCCCAGCACAGTGTTTACATTCTCATCTGCTGAGACGTGCTGCCGTTTCTTTGTATTGCATGTCTAATAAATTTTATTTAGTTTTATTTTGCAACACATTGAGATGATTTGGAACATGGGAGAGGCCTTTGTTCTGCAGTGGACGTAGTCAGGCTGATGATGATGATGAGATGATTTGGGACTGACTTCTGAGAGGGTGATGAAAACTAGGGGCTCCCAGTTTGAATCAACTGTTGTGAATACTGATGCACTCGAATTATCCCATAGAAATGCACAAGTTTGTGGTGGGCATCAGTTCGAACTCACCAAGATCTAATTAACAAGTATTTACTGTAGTACAACAATGAATATAATGTTTAGGAGTTTTTTATCTCTATTTCTTTAATGTATGCACCTCACAGTACAAACAAATTGAAAGGGGAAGGGCAAAACTTAACATATCATTAAAACTTGGTTATACAGTCAAACCCCTTTATAAGAGACACCAGTGTGCTTTCAGTAAAATACAGGTGGATAAGAAAATGCATACAAGATACCCTGCTTATAAGAGGCATCTCATATAAAAGACAAGAATTGTTGCCTAGAGAATGCCTCTTATAAAGGGGTTTAACTGTATATAACTGTATAACTGTATAAAATAAACAAATACAGAATAATGCAATAACACAAACAAATTTTAGTCACAATGCTTGCCTTCTATTTGCACAACACTCAGCCGGGACTTCCCATCTCGTTTGGGGTGAGCAAAGAGGGAGCGAAAGGCTCCAGCTACGTGGAGGGCCAACACTGGCTGCGAGGCCCCATGCTGGGTGCTGGGGCATTCAGCTCTTGCTACCAGGCGATGGACCGCAGCACAGGCACGCTGATGGCCGTCAAGCAGCTGCCCTTCTGCCGGTCATGCCAGCGGGATGACAAGGAGACAGCCGAGATCATGGGCAGCATATGGAACGAAATCCAGATGATGGCACGGCTCGAACACCCCCACGTACTACCCTTGCTCGGTGCCACCAAGCACAAGGATCAGTACAACGTCTTCCTTGAGTGGATGGCAGGTGAGTGCGCCCTTCCCTCAACACATCCTGCGGCAGCTTTTGGAGGGTAATAAACTGATCTGTAGCACTGTTACAGATGGAAGTTTGCAAGCTCTTTTGAGATACAGTGAATGCAGAACCGGTTCAGTTTACACGTGTAGTGTGTGTGGTGTCTGGTTTCTGCTTGAGTAACCCTGTAACGGACTTGGCGTAGCATTTATAGACATTTCTCGTGCGACTATTTGTGTTTGCATAATTTTTTTCCTTTTCTTACTTTTCTGTTCTCTCTTCTCTTTTTTTTTACCTCCAGCCTTTGTTTCTTCTATGTCTCCCCTTCTTGAAGGAGCAGGCAGGTGTTGTGCTCCCATAGAGGTTTTTCTTTTCATGAGCGCCGCCATCTCGCTCGCGGGCAATCCTTTTCTGTTAACGTACCAAAACCACCATGTATGATTATAAGAGACGTCGAAGTGGAGGGCTCGGAAATTTCGACCACCTGCCTTTTCTGGTCTGGCAACCCATCTGGCATGCGGGAAGCTTGCTGTTTGCATAGAAGAGAAGCATGCGGCTGCCGTTTTATTGTTGTTTTTTTTTTGCGGGGTGAATTTCAACTGAAGTGATGCATGTTCTTTAGAAAAAGAGTATGAGACGTTCTGACAAGATTCAAGCTGTTGAGGGCCAATTGTATTATTATGCAGTGCCGTGGACTAGTCCCCCTCTGTTGATGTATATTTACAGCACCGACTTTCTGTTCGAAGAATGCACAGTATTTTCAGGCCTTTCATTTCCAGAGTGAGCAACAGCACTTCGAGAGCACAGTGAATATCTTTCTTGAGCTGTAGTTTTCTGCTTTTTCAACAAGATTTTTTTACGTCATGCCGTCGCATCGACTACCGCTATTGCATGAAGCCATGCATTGGAGTGTAGTGGTTTGTCTTTATTTCCTGGCACTGACAGTTTTTGTTAACTGTGCACTAACTGTTGTTTAAATTGTTTCTCAACTATGAAGGGGTCACCGTATCTTACTCGCTCGTTTGTTTTTACAGGTGTCTATTTGAATAGCTCGTAGATTAAACGACGCTGACGTGCCTGCACGCTCCGCTTCCCTCCTTTTTTTAATCGCAATATTTGAGTGACTCTCGGTGCCGCGGTACTTTGCCGACGATAGAAAGAAATGTTATGTGGGGCTGTTAATCGGGGAAGTATTGTCATCGTTGGAATGGCTGCGTACCTTCTGTTTATAGCAAAGGTTGAGCATCGGTGTCGAAATCGTTGCAGTTTGTTCGTCTGAGAAGAAGTGCTCTGAACATACCTGAGTACTTGCGGAAGGTACAAAGTTTTTCCTGTTTAAGTTTGGAATCCATAGAAGCTGCTGCTCCTCGTCAACAGGAAAACGATGCAACTTGAAAAGCCCACAGCCAGAAAAACTGTGTCTGGTGATGCACATGGCAATTCTGCTGACAGCAGTTTCCTTTTTCTGTAGTTGTTACTGCACCCAAAAACAGCGCAGTAGTTTCCTGATGACCAAATCTTGGTCGTCCTAGCAATGAAGAAAAAAAGAAATCCGCAGGTTGTCTCAATTCACGGAAAATCACTCGATAACGTGACACGTACCAGCCTCAACACACACGCTCCAAGCCGTCGCCCGCATGCCAGTGAGGAGGAACGAATTGGTTGCCAAACCGGACCTTCTTTCTTGATGCAAAGGCCTATAGGTGGCAGTTGTCGGCCTGTTTCCTCCCTATTTCTTCTGTGTCTTCATGTTTTCTATGTATGCAAACCAAATGAATAAATAAATAACCCTGGTGCTGGAGTATAACAGTTTTTCAATGACAGATGCAAGAACGAATGCAAGTATGTTTGGCTTCACTTTAAATAGTTAAACTAACTGCCACAGCACATGTAATTCACACCAGATTTTGTGCTCAGTCCATGAATAATTTTCTGTCTATACTTTGGCATGTACCGGGCATCCTGTTTTTGGGAGAACGATTGTAAGACAAGGAGCTTCCATTTTACTAAGGGTTGGTGATAGTACATGTTTCATTACCGAGTGTGATTGGTTGGTCTATTTGTGCCAGGTGGTTCGGTGGCCTCCTTGCTGGAGCGGTATGGACCATTTCCAGAAGTCACGATCCTGCGCTACACGTACCAGGCACTCAGCGGCCTGGCTTACCTGCATGAGAACCACATTTTGCACAGGGATCTTAAAGGTGAGCACTTCTGTCCTAAGGCAGATATTGCTCTATGAAAGCCTATAAGCTTGAGCTTTTCATGGCATGCGTTCGTTGGATGACTGAGGGTGCGTGTGACACTTTGTGCAGGGTGTGCTGAAGGTCACATGGCACTTTCCATGAAGTTTTTGTGATATGATAAAACATTACTTCATGTATTGATAACTGTACATACACCTAAGCCTTTGTTGCTACTCGGCCACCTGATGTTCAATTACTGTTACTGTTACCAGAGTGCAGGCTCCTCAGATGGTGCTTCCTAAAGCCTTTGTATAGACATTAAAGTTTGTACGAATGTGCTACTACAGGGTAAACTAAATTAGTCTGTCTGCTGACTACTCAGGTGAAAAAAAAATTGCACTTGAAATGTCTCACTGCTTATTATTTTGTTGTGTATTGTTGGGTTTCTGGCAACTCCTCTTGACGTCATGAGTGTATAATCACCATTGAAACCTATAGTTGAACATTATGTTGATTTTCCACAACAGTTAAAAACAGTTGGAATCAATGCGAGTACATTTCATTCTGAAACTTTGTCTGCAGCAATGAAGCAGTGGTTGTGGTTCCATGATAAAAATATAAAACAGCGCATCAACACAGGACACAGGAAAGAAGAGACAAACGGCACATGTTCAGCGCTGCATGTGTCTCTTCTTTCTTTTGTTCGGCATTGAAGCGCTGTTTTATATTTTATCATGGAAGCTCACAACTCGCTCAATCTGCTTATCTTCTTCAGTGGTTATGGTGCTCGGCTGCTGGACACAAAGGTCGCGAGTTTGATCATCCTTGTCGTGGTGGTCCAATGTCAGTGGAGACGAAATGCCAGAGGCCCACGTACTGTGCAATGTCGTCGCACGTTAAAGAACACAAGATGGTCGAAATTTCCAGAGTCTTCCGCTATGGTGTCTATTATTATCATATCGTGGTTTTGGGATGTAAAGCCCCAGATATTATTATTATAATTTGGGACACAGAAGAGTTGAAACCTACAGCTGCTTGCTTTCGTCGTTTAGCCAGGCATTACACAAAGCAGACTTCAGATATATATAAGAAGTAATGCTTTGGCATTCTTTTGTCTTAAAAGGGCCCTGAAACACTTCTTCAAGTAGCCATAAAATGAATTCACTGGAAGAGCTTATTGCCTCACCAGCTCACTGCCGCAAAAATTTCAAGAATCCGTCCAGTGCGAGTGGAGTTGCAAAGATTTGTCGCATGCTGCAATTGCATTCTCTTTTCTCTCGTCCCGACGAAAGCGCTGGAAGCTAAGCAGGAAGCAATGGCAGGGACAAAGAATACACGTCACGCGCGCCTCCTGACCTTGAGCACTTTTTTCTTTTTTTTTTTTTTCCAATGCACAACTTTTTCGGTATGATTGCGCGCGCACGCGTGCACAAGTCGCGGCTTCCCATGGCGATCTCTGTAACGACCGAGGGTGCCATGATCAAATCAGCCAATGGCTGGTAGATGGGATTTTCAAGAATGATTTTGGAGGGTCTTTCGTAATTTGTCGAGAGAAGAGAAAGTAATCTTTAGCTGACTTGGATAATCTATTGTGAATTCCAGGTTGTATGCTGCGCTATAATATTTGGCTCGCGTGTCGTTGGGAGCCTCTACTACCGAACGGCAGCGTTTTCTGACCATGCTCAAAAAGTGTTGCAGGGCCCCTTTAATAAAAGCACAGTTTCTTTCGGTACCATACATGAAGGTGTTTTATTTTTGCAGTAAGTGTAAACAAAGAAATGGCTCGAATGCTTGAACACACTTAGCGCATTGTGGTACTTTAGTGGTGGATCAGCAAGGCATACCATGTTTACCTCTCTAATTTGTGCCCTCATGTAAATTGTGTGTTGTATAATACCACTGTAGTAACTGAAAAACAAAACAATTTACCCACACAGGCCTGTAATGGCTTGCATAATGTTCATATCTTGGTGATATGTGTGCATACATGACAATGCACACATATTTTAGGCGGCATAGAAAAAAAATTCAGATAAAAACTCCATGGTGTTGAATCTTCCTAAACAGTAAAGTGCCATTAATATAAATACGTATAAAAAGTACTTAGCGTTTAAAATGTCACGGTGAATCTGCAAGCGAGTCTCGATAGAGTCTTACAGTCAGCACATATTTCACTGGCGTTTTATTAGATAAACTGCACCTGTCAACTTGCAGCATGGCCAACATCACACTATGCTGCAAAACATCTGCCACTAAGAAAGCTCACAAATTATGCAAGTGGATAAGATATTCTGAATTGCTTTCGCAAATAGCTAATTACAATCCTCACAGAAGCAAACAACATTTTTTTTCCAGGTGCCAATCTGCTTGTAGACAGCACAGGACAGCGCCTGAAAATTGCCGACTTTGGCTCGGCCAGCCGCCTCCAGAGCAAGGCCACCCTGGCTGGGGAGTTTCAGGGTCAGCTGCTCGGCACGATTGCCTTCATGGCTCCAGAGGTAAGTAATCTGCTGTGTTTTGGTTCAGCTTTATGAAACTGCAATTAGCTGATGCAGCTTCTCCTGTGAGGTTTTTATTTATTGATATGGGGGGCTTAACGTCCCAAAACCACCATGTGATTATGAGAGACCCCTTAGAGAAGAGCTTCGAAAATTTCGACCACATGTAGTTCTTTAATGTGAACTCAAATCCAAGCATATGGGCTTACAGCATTTTCGCCTCTGAAAAAATGCAGCTGCCGCAGCCGGGATTCCATCCCGCGACCTGCAGGTCAACAGCCAAGTACTTAAGCCTCTACACCACCTCAGGGGGCTTTCCTGTGAGGGGTAACATTTTTAGTTGGCAATTATAATGTAAGTGAAGATTACTGTGAAAGTTGGGAAGTTGCCTAACTTGTATAAATGTACTCGTGCAGACATTTAGATTTATTCTTTGTTCCACATTAATTTTACGTGCTATCTTTCTATTATTATCACTGTAACCTGTAATTCGTGATGCTACAAAGTAGTATTTACATTAGGAAGATAATATCTCTGTACTCGGCACTTCTTCAGCTCAGTCTTTTGTGTCCACATATATTTTTATTGCAGTATACTAGTGCAAAGGGGTCAAAGAAACATTACCGCGGCATTTAAACAAGTCACTGTTTCAGTTTGGATGAGACATGAAGCGAAACTCCCGAGTTCTACTACTTTATAACTGCTAGACCACAAGCAAAATTCATGTAAAACAGCTGTTTTGATTCTCAAAAACAATCAGCAGATATGAACACAAGGTCAAAACACGGCAAAACTCACACATCTTATTTGAATGTTAGGCAGGTTCATTCTAAACAACACGCTGCTGCGTCGAAAAATAAAATTTCTACCACTAATCATTTGATTCTTCCGTTACCTACGTTTTGTGTATCACTCCTCTGCTGTCTCCTAATGGCTTGCTCATCTAAAGTTTTAAAAGCCTTTTATGCAAATGTAACTTGGTTGCCATTTGCTTGTTTGGTGGCAATTGATGATATTTGTATGAAGTTAAAGAAGCAGAATAGATACCATGCCTCTCAGTATCAGTTATGAAATGGCCAATCATGCTCATTGATGCAGGTGCTACGAGGGGAGAACTATGGCCGCTCATGTGACATCTGGAGTGTGGGCTGTGTTCTCATTGAAATGGCCACCAATGCGCACCCTTGGGACAACTGCAACACACTGAATCACCTGGCACTCATTTACCGGGTAAGAGATCACAGTTGCAAGTTTTGACAACTAAAGCATTTCAAGTTTCCATTAGAGTTGTGTGAATAGCTGAATTTTGGTTGCCATCAAATCAAATATTTTTAGTGTATTTCTAGAATATGTTTTGAATACTTCTGAGAAAAACTACAAAAATAAGATCGCGACATATTCATGAAGTGCATGATGATGAGAGGGCACAGCAGTGGAATCGTTTAGTGTTACCGTACATTACCCGTGACATTGACCACTAATGCAGTGTAATTGAGTGACATAATGGTCTACAGTCATATACAATGTTTACAATGTTTATTGGTCATAAATGGTATGTTGTGTTGAATTGTGAATTCCATTTTGCCTTCACTATTACTGCTTTGTGGCATCAGATCTAGCTGAAAGGTATCACATACTGCACAAGACAATCGTCTGTGATCATCATCGTCATCAGCATCATCATCATGGTGTATACCATATTGGGTACCTTGCATGTGCTGTGCTGTCATGGCAGAAAGAGAATGAGTGGTCAGAAAAGCCCTTGTTCTTCATCGTTCTTCATCAGAGACAAGGTGGCGACGGAGCTACCTGCTCTGGTGCCGCCTTGTCTTCTTCATTGTGAATAGTAGTAGTAGTAGTAGCAGTAGTAGTAGTAGTAGTAGTAGTAGTAGTAGTAGTAGTAGTATTGTAGCAACTTCCGACAAAAAAGAAGAAGTTGCGCCATTGGGCCATTCACTTGTGGCTCGTTTTCTGGAGACACATTCTGTTTTGTTTACCTGGCTGACCAGCAGTTGGAGAATGAGTTTCCTACGGCATTAAAGCCTTTAGCTCCTCTACCAAAGGCGTTTGTCTCTTCAAGTATTTCAGCGCACTGAGTGATGACCTTCGAAAGACTGGCATATCCATGAAGTGAATGATGATGAGTAGGGCAACACAGTGGGAATCTTCATCATCTACAGCATCATCATCATTTCCACGGTGTATAGTGGGCATCTTGCATGTGCTCAGCTACGACGAATGCCAATGCTAATGCCACAGTATGCGCGGCTGTCTGGGACTATATTGATGAAACTAATAGGTTGACTAATTAACCAGTTCCATTATCCTAACATGTCCACATAATGATATACGTATAAAATCAAATTATTGCTCTATTCTAAGATTAAATTCCTTTATGTAAATATTTGCGTGCATTACATTAAGCACTACACTTTCCTAGGCTATCGGTAATCTTTCTGTTATACCTCCATTATTCCAAATTTGAACAGTAATTTTTAAAACCACTCGATTCTTGGCCAATCCCCCTATAGGGGGTATGCGCCACTACCAATAGGTAAACAACAACGTCGCCAACGACAAGCCTCGACCTTTGCCTCAAAAAGGTTTCAGAGGATCCTTAAGCATATTTTTATGAGATAAGAGCACGAAAGCGTCTCCTTTGACTTGATTGGAGAACTACAAGACAGATGCCACAAAGTGGTGTTACCTAGTTGTCTCAAAAAGAACGAGGACAACGCAGGTGTCAATGTACAATTGGCATGATTTGGTACGACCAAAATGATCTTGACATTGCTTTACATGTAACCTCTTTTTCTCCACCTCAAACTTCTGTGGAAGCCCCACTGATGTGGTAGACAAGGGCACACTTCCTTCTAGTGAGGAGTTTTTCATCTCCAAAATTTATTTCCCTCTTTTACTTTGCCACTGCGAGTGGTTTTTGGAGCAGTTTTGGTGTTGGTGTCGGTACTGGTAGGAGCTAATGTGTTTTCCACGCATGCCGTTTATGAATGCTGGACGAGTACGCACTTTTGCAAAGGAAGCCAATTAACACTCTTGCACTAAAATGTAGCCCAAAACATGGGCCTGTATTCAAAATCCAGCCTCGGCCATACCTCACATATTCCTCATGTTTCTGTACTTTCTACATGTGTTACGGGGACACAAAAATGTTAACAGCATGAAATATAACAAGATTGGTTCATAAATACTAGCCTGCTTTGTTCATCAAGTGCAATAAAGGCTTAAAACTGATAAAAAAACTTGAAGTAAGCATGAGATTGGTTTGGCAATATGTTTGGGTGAAAGTTGAAGATCCCTAGGTAGTCGAAATTTTCGGAGTTCTTCACGACGGCGTCTTTCATAATCATATGGTGGTTTTGGGGCGTTAAACCCCGTATATCAATCAACCAATGGTTTGTTAATATTATCCAGAGACAAAAACAAAACAAGTTCTTTTGCGCAGTAAGCTGCAGAATAGGCGATAGCGCGCTGTCGTCTGTTCAAGTAACTGGCCGCATCGAGTTCAGAATGTTGTCGCGCATAACAATGCCCAATACGGCAGTGTTATGAACCATGGGTGCCCTACAACATCCAAGAAACAATGCCATCTACTCTCCATGCCTTTCAGCATTCCTCATGCCTTCGACATACGTGGCGACATCATCATGTCAATTGCTCGTCAACTACGACACTTGTTTGTCCGCTGCAGGCACGGGAACTTGCTGCTAATTCTCCTCGCAAAGTGAGAAGGATCACTCTGCCAGAAGAAGAGTTGAACCTACGACGAGCAATGAAAAAAGTGATACGAGCAAAGGCCTCTCTTGTGTCATCAAACGCGTGCAACTCCGCTATTACGATCCTGTTTTGGGAAATCCTCACGTCTAAATGTTTGCTGTAGACCTGTGTGTAACTGCAATCCCTCAGCTAAATTTCGACCTTCGACCTGTAGGTGGTGTAGGGGCCCTTTAACCATTACTTCTGTTTAGCTAAAATACCTACAGCAGTGATAATGCCTCTATGTGGGTGTCCATGATTGTAGTTTGCCTCTTACGTCTTTCTATACAGAACTGTCCATACCAACGTACTGTTCTTGCAGATATCGTGTGCCCAGTCTCCACCGCCAGTTCCCAAGATGCTCAGCCTTAGGACACAGCACTTGGCTCTGCAGTGCCTCCGTCTTCGATCCGAAGACCGACCACCAGCCGCTGATCTTCTGTCCCACCCTGCATTCAAGGAGACCAACCTACACTCGGACTAGGAGCTGTGAAGGAGCTCTGTGACCAACATCATCAACAAGGTCGTAACAATGGCCATTGGTAGTTGAATGTTGAACACACTTTACCACTTCCTAACCGCTGTGACAGGCCCTTTCCCCCCCCCCCCCAAGTGACTGTTTGTCTTTGGTCATCTGCAAAGCTGTGCCACACATTATCTTCACACTTTTGCAAGTTGTGCTTGCACCCTGCTTTTTCTTCTCTGCTATCAAGTAGTGCTACTTGACTTTGTCACCATGGCTGCTGTCACTGCAGGTTTTGTAACGGTAGGGCATGCAGAGATTCTGCATAGCGTCATGGTTGTCTGAGGAAACTCAGCCCTTCCGTGGTCACATATAGCATTCTGTGTCCATGTGTTGCCTATTGTGCTTGTTTCTGCAGTCCAGTCACTTGGGGTTGCCTGTCGTGGTTGGCATTTGGTCGTGTCAATCTTTGTGGCAATCTTTTTTGTTGAGGGTGAGATGGATACGTGTGGAAGTCTAGATTCCAAACGTGTTGCAAACCTACACCAAGGTTGCACAGGAAGCGAGATCTTTACTCTTGGTAGATCACTTTCTGTTTGTCACTTGGCAAATGATTATTGCCTGCACCAGTAATGACAAATGCGCTGGCAGAAAGTTACATTGGGCCCGTATTTTCTGGTACCAAACCAGTTCTTTGCATTCACATAACTGTTAAACAGATACAGGTCAATGCACAAGGGCATTTTGTCTTGGCAAACGCTAAGGCATCAGCAAAAGTGATCAATCAAGAATAATGCATACAACCTATTCCTGTTGCAAGCACAGTGCATACTTGCTTAGCATTTTTTTTATTCAGTGTGCTAGAGTGCATCTCAACAAAACATGTATGCTCGTCTATCTTAATTTTTTTCTCTACCTCAGTGTGACACACTAGTTTACTTTTTTTTTCCTTTCTTTGTCAGCCTATTTGTTCTTTGTTTCATACACTGTTCAAAGCTTGGCAGGACTGACAGCTGCAGTGATACAATATCAAATTGGTCTTGCCTGAATGCAATGCACTGTTGTGCATTATTCTTTAGATAAAAACTGGCTGAAAAAGAAGTAAGGTTTCTCAAGGTGGCATACATATTAATCATCATTCTGTGTAACCACGAAGGAGTTTCTGGCTTTGAAGATGATGGCTAACCAATGCCAGAAAACAGAGAGAAAAAAAAGCAATTATGTTTGCACCTTGAAAAAAAAAAAAACAAGCACCTTTCAGTCCTGCTCTGTGACCTATGTGTTTTAATATCGAAGTGTGTGCCAAAAAAAAGTATATATATGCTAAAGAAAAGAAAAAAAGAAAAAAAAGGAGAAGTGTACTTAATGTGACTTGTCATGCATCCTAATTTTTTTGTGTGTTCAATTTTTCTGTTGGTGCTGCCATCGCCTACGCTGTGGCTCCTTAGCATGGCACCACAACAGTCTCTTCTTTTTTTTTTAAGTTGTTTTTCACTGCTGGAAACAGTGTTTTGTATCCTTTGGGTTTGACATGTCTTGTGAACGGAGCAGTGCGGTTTACTTGCACGGATGGCGGCACTTGGCTGCCTTTCGAAGTGGGTCACTCACTTGTGACACTTGGCAAACCCAAAAGCTTGTTTTTCTGTATTGGTTGGAAGCTGTACATTTTTCTCGGTTTGTCTTGGTTTGTATACACCTCAGCACAGCCTCTTTGCTGCCGTAACAAATGTGACACAGAAAGTCGCAAGTTACATAAATTGGAAAAAATCTGGAACAGTACTTAGTTTTGCATCAAAATGAGTGCACATTTATCCTGAATGTAATGCGCACTGGGTAAAAAAGTTAAATGTTGATCCAGCTAATTCATTAGCTCACTCATTTGCCCAATTTGTATATTTTTTAAACACATTTATTATATTTGAATACAGCGAGTTTTTTTTTAAGGAATATGAACTACTCATTGGTAGAGCTGTCTTTCAAAGAAATACAACATCGATGGTAACACCGTGAATCCTTTCAATGACAGAAGCACATCATCTAAACATGTTGGGCATTTTAATGGGTACTATTTGTGCCGACTGGCAGTACAGTAGTCTGTGCTGGGTTGTTAAACGAATACAACTGTCTTGGGCACAGGGGCATATCTGTTGTCTGATTTCATTTGTTATTGTTCTCCTTTTATCTGTGCAATTAGCATTATGACTGCGATTATGATGCAGTTTTTATAGTGGTGCACCCACAGCAATTGGACACAGCTTTTACACTTTGCTAGAGGCACAGTTGTACTTGGTGCCAACAGTATGGATTTTGGCATGGCGTGCATTTGACCTTTTTTTTTCCCCCCGACATTTTTTTGGCTGTCACGTCACAATTTGTGTGACAACGCATTTGTTACACCGCAACTTGTGTGATGTGACGCTTGCGTGCAGTGGCACCTTTTCTTATGTTTCTGCTTTACCTTGTTGATTAATCTTAGTCACCCACTTCAAGAGCGCATTGCCTCATGTCAAAGCAAACCTTTGCAAAATAGGTTTTCATCAGAAAGCTTTCTGTTGGTAAATATTGTAAAACTGTGCTGGTCACTTTTGTCACTTAAAAGTGACGTTGTTGCAATGCACTGCATGTCTATTTATAGCTTAGAAAGCATAGATACCTGAAACAAAAAAAAAAAATTGTGGGCGATACATGTAAAAAAAAAAGTAACAGGATGTTGCACAGGTGTTCCTTGTTCAGGAAGTAGAACTTTTTTTTTTACTTCATTCTTGCTGGTTGTGCGCGAATTTTCTGAAACATTGTCACCATATTTTGCGGCATCACCAGTTCTCACTTTCACCTCATACACTTTTTTTCTTGTCATGAAAGATACCAGCGATGTTTCATTGTGGGCTAAGCTAACCAATTTGTGTGTAGTGAGTCATTCATCATATTTATTTATTTTGCTCATGAGTGGTCCTTAGAGGAGAGAAAATTTTCATCGCTTGCAGAAAGTCATTTTCATAGGCACTCCGTTATAGAACATTGCTCATCTTTTATGAGGGTTAACCCCCACTCAAAACATCATTAACACTACAGAGTGTGTTCGCAGCTTATTACCGACACAAATTGTAGAAATGACAGTGCAGTGGCAGTGGCTCGTGCCTAGCGTGCGCACCTTTATATTCTGTTAACCGTGTGGAAACCTGATCTGCTTTCTCAACAGATCACTTTTAGAAAGGAACAGGAATGTTTTTTTCATGCAGAGCAGTTAAATGCGGTATGTGAATGGGTTGCAAGAACTTTGCACGACATTGAAAGATCCTTGCCCCTACAATTAAGCACAATGTTCTGTTGTGTTCTATCATTTGAAGAAAGAGCTTGACCCATGAGGTCAACCGAGCTTGTGGTCCCTCGTTCTCTGAGCACTCTCCTTGCGGTGGGGTGACACCGGTGAATCACCAATGAATAATTAATACAATTGTTGCCTGAAAAATTTTTCATTGTGCTGTAGAAGCCTTTCATGTGGCTCTTGGCTGAGCCAAAGGGACCATTTTTTTTTTTTACTTGGGACCAGTAGATAAAGGATATTCTTCGAAGTGACTCTACAATGCAGCACTTGCATATTGTTTTGTTCATCTCTGGCCCACTGAAATCACCCAGCGCTTTTGTTTCAAGCTCATAGTTATTTAAACAAACAACTTTTGGGTAATCAGGTGTTTTGTCTCTTTTTCCACTCTATTTGTGTCTTTATTTAATAAGATTTATCCAAATTGGGTGGTTCTCATGGCACAAGGCACTATTCATCATTAAATGTTTTCTAGACATGTTAAGTTTATGATTTTTATCTTTTGCCTCATTGAACTCATTGTTAGGTACAGTTTTGTATCGCATAGTGGTCGTAAAAAGTCTGAATATCGCCACGTGACAACCTTTTTTACGGTGCCATCTTGGAAAGCACCAGCACTGGTGTATTAAACACACGCACAGTTTATGATGCTCCAGTCTCGTATTTTACAAGGACATGTATGTGAGTGAAGGGGTAAAATAATGAATAGTGTGTACTATAAAGTGCTTCGAGAAAAATTATGCCTGCAGAGCCCAATATCTTTGCTAAGCTTTTAACTTGGCGTTATTTTCGGAAAAAGAAGCACTTAGAAAAGTGGACATGTGATCCACGAGCTACACAACATTTAAGGCGCAGCACATGACTGCAAGGCATATTTTTCACTTTTTCCTGCTTTTATAAAGGCCTGCCACAGTGGATCCAGTGGTTAGGGTGCTAGATTGCAGACTCATAGGTATAGCATCAAACCTCGGCAGCAGTCACATTTTCGATGCTGGTGAAATTCTTGAGGCTTGTGTACCTAGATTTCGATGCACAAACTACAATTTGTTGAATTTTCTAGATCTCTCCACTACGGCATCTTCATAATTGTATCATGATTCTGGAACATTTAACCCACACAATCATTAATTTTATGGAGCTCTCAGCAGTGCATTATGCACATGTCCGAAGAACACAAGCGATCTCGAATTGTTTGTTTTAATTGAATTGCTTTTGCCCAGTAATGCAATACTGTGTCTATGTATTTATATATGCAGGCAGGCAGGCAGAAATAGATGTTAAAGACAGCAGATGATACAGATTTGAAGCCTATAACAAATAATGTTGCAATTTTTTATCCTCACTCACAACATGTCTGCATGTGATACACAACATTTCTACAAGCGGGTTGGTCCTTTTTTTTTCTTGGTATGACTGCAATTTGTGTATGTCGGTCTGGGAAAGAAATAATTTTGAAAAAAAAAATGCATTTATTTTATTGTGGGTGCCACTGGTATGCTGTGGCTAACTTGTGGAAACAGGTGAATTTATTTCAAGCAGTGGTTTATTCTTATTTTTTTTAATCTCCTAGCACCCCCCAAGAGATTAGTACCTGAAAATCATTGACAGTGCCTTATGTCCTTTGTCTGCCATGAAGAGTGATCGTGAAGCAGTATTTTTGTATAACTCAATTGCATTTGATGAACCTTTATGCCCCTTTTTTATGTAATTCATGCACATATTGTAGCTTTTATACAAGAGTTGCATACTTTACACTGCTCTCACTATAATGAGGGGCCATAACGTGTTTGATACGTGTGTGCCAATTAAAAATATTTGAAAGCATTTCAAGCGAAGACTCTTCTTACTGCCTCCTACAATGACATTGTTCTGTTTCGTCTTGCAAATTGTACAGGTACACGTAATACTATTGGGCTAAAAAAATATACAAGTACTGTTGTACAAGCATTATAGGGGACTGTTAACTGGATAAGTGAATTCCTTATGGGGTACTGAAAGTTCAGTAATGGGTGAGGACAAATACTTTAGAACTTGTAAAAACTACGTCACCTGTTCGTTTTAGATAAAAGAACTACATTTAGCAAATGAGACGTTGGAAGCGTTTATGCTTAAGTTTGTTTCGAAATCCCAGACCAGACGCCATCGATATATCAGGACATCATGGCAAAGTATCCTTACAAGTAGCATTAAGACTAAGGTATGATGACAGTGGGACCACTTAGTTCAAACTATTGTAACATCGATGCCTGCCAGTGCATTTTCTAGGGTTTGGAGGGCTTGAGCCTTCACATATCGCTTACGAAACTTTTAAATTTTGTCGCCCTTTATAGACATAGGTGATGGCCCCGCTTTGAAGCTCTAATTAAGATAACTTACAGAGGCAACCTAAATAAGCATTTCGAAGCAGCAAGACTGAAAATGCCATTTTAAAACAGTAGAATGTAGGGCGAGTTGCTGTTTGGACATAAACACCACCGTAAAAGCACAAGGAGACAAGACTACAGGACCGCGTTCATTTGTTCCTTTTCGCTGTCCTGTCTTGCTCTATTCTCACTCCCCGAGTGCCAACATGTCACAGTCAAACCCGACGACACGAGTCTGGTAAATCCAATCGTCCTTTATATCTGACTGCATTCAAACATAACAATGCTTTAACATCGGTGTAGAGGAAAATTTATGGCTAAGGAAAAAAAGAACACCGGACCGTGCGTATGCAGACAGCTTGGGCCAGCCAGCATCAAAACTTCCTTCTTTATATATTGAACCACTGGCGTGACCGGGGGGGGGGGGGGGGGGGTTCAACCCCCACTACCCCCCAAAAAATTTTTCGCCAGATTGAGTGTACTGCATCAAATATACGGCGATGACACATTCGTTTTCATTCACAAAAAGCTGTCTTTTACGTAAGGGGACTTCCCGCTTGCATTTTAAAAAGCAAGTGGCGTGTTTAAGAGGGCGTGGCGCAGAGCAAGTAGAAACTACCACTCACCATTGCGAGTTTTCTCCCATGATTCCTTGTCGCGGCAGTCCTGCAGTGTAGCCGATCGCTTCTCAGTTAACCCAATCGATGCCATAAAGTAGAACAATCTGACTGTTTCCATCGCAGTTGGCGATAATTAACAGCGCACAGACATACATAGAGGCAAAAAGTCTGACATCGCCGCTGCATGCAACATCCGAAGAAACGCCCAGAGCATGATAATGAAAAACGCAACATTACTTAATCTTTTTGGGGTCACAGCGCCAAGGAACACGAGGACAGAAATTTTTTGTGGGGACAGTTTCTGTGGTGTCTACTTGGTGCGTCTGCACCACAAAAGATTGACCATGCATGCCAACATTAGGACCAATTTTGCAGACTAGCGAATTTCGGCGCCCAACAAGTGCCGAGTCACTGTTTACATCAATACCGTGCTTTATCCCCTACAATCTGCACCTGCATATCCCAAATACAAATCGCTAAAAAAAATGCCGCATATTGCCGTAAGCCGCCCTTCTTGCACTGTCAAGCAGTGCCGCGAAGCCAACTTGCATGCCGCAAATACGGCAAGTTCTTCAATCAAATTCCTGTCTTGAATGTGAATGGGGCTGCCAAAGTTGGCTGCACAAGAAAGCAGGCCAAAAATTTCACTGAAAGCAAAGTGAATGCTGTGTACAGGATATAACTTACTTGTGGATCGTGCAGCTGGCAATTCATTGGTGGGGGAAAAGGGGCACATTTGCACATCAATGCAGCAGGTGTTCTTGCATGCTTGAATTTAAGGGCACCTGTATTTCGCTCAGCAAGCTCGCAAAATCTGCGATTCTCCGAGCTCTTCCCGTCGGGCGGCGCTAGCTAGTGTGCTGCATAGCCATGGTCCATCAGTGATTCGACATATGACCGCGTGATATCTGGCGGTGCTGTACCTCACTAACCCATTTTGAAAAATATTAACATAACACGTGCTGCCGAGAACTTTAGTGGCACGACAATGATCGCACGCGAGGCCACAATATGGCAACTGCCGCAATAGCAACCCTTGTAGATGACGTCATGTGTGAGCATACACCTTCACCAGTGCCGTAGCCAGGGGGTGGCACACCAGGCCCCTGCCCCCCTCCCCCTCAAGCAGACCATTCAGAGCAGAAGTAGCAATGTTTCCCAACACCCGTGAAGCAGCATTTGTTCAATGCTGATGACAGCAGACACTAATAGGCTAAGTTGTTGCAACAGTCTGGCTTATACTTTTTACAAATGTTTGTATTGTACTTTTCGTTCTGTTTTATACAGTTCGGCTCTAAATGACCACATTCGTGCTAGGTAGTACAATGCCCGAGTAAATGTGCTCTTACCCTGGAAGTTTCCTTCCAGAAAAACCAGGGAGGCACTCAGTTGTCCTTTTCTATCACACTGCTCTTTCGGCGCATGCAAAGCTAAACATAGCTTGCGAGTCATGGGGCTGCGAAAATTGACAAATGAACCTCGTGGCACACTTCTTTCATAGACGACGTACTTAGAGCATGTTGCAAAGCATAACTAGATAAACATTCCGCCACATAAGCAAAAGTAAAACACACAATCACAACTAAAAATGCCTTAAATCCCTTATTAATCAGCGCATGAAGTTAACAAGCACGGGGGAATTGTTCAAGATGCTTTGTTCAATCACAGCTACTCAATGTGTTTTTTCAACAAGCGGCCATGGTTCAACGCACGCAGAGTAAACTCCCGTTAAGACAAACTCTGTTAAGAGGAATTCTTACTTAAGACCAACATGGGAGTATTTGTTTGATTTCCCATAGACTCCATGCAAAAAAAAAATCTGCTTAAGACAAACCGCGTAACAGGTTTTTGCAACAGAACAACAACGAAGAGGATTCTGCATAATAAATAATGTCTTGGTAAGGGCATTCAGGCAAAAAAGAGAAAGCAAAAAAACTGCCTGGTGCAAGGACTCGAAGCAAATAGAAAGAAAATTACGACGTGGACAGAGAAAGCGAGATAAGCAGAAAAGAAAGGTCAGTGCGTGAAGCTGGTATCTCCCTCACCCCTAGCCTGTAGGTGGAAAAAGGGCCGGCTCTATCAGCAAAGAAAGCAACAAAAAGTGATCCTTTTGTATTATCCTCGCGTTCTTCAGTTCCCCAACAGGAGTACAGTAGGGAACAGAAGAACACAAGAGTTTGGCTAGAGGGAAAAATGCATGGGAAGGGGGACAAAAAAAGCCAAATGAAAGTGAAAATTGGAACAAAGATTGTCTGTACATAATAATCACATGAAATAGAAGCCACATATGTGGCGCTTTCATTACCATCAGAGGAGTCGGATGCACTGTCATCGCCGTCACATATTGGCACCTCAGCATATGCTGTGGTCAGTTTGCGTTGCTTTGCATAAAGCCTGTGCACGTTATATCTGTTCACAGTGAAATGCAGCAAATTGTGATGTGTCATTTTCATTATGAAAGTGCACGACAGAGGAAGGTAATTTTGCACACTAAATATAGCTGCATTGTGTTTTTTTTTTTTGTGCCTGATGCTTGCGATGGTGAGTAGCGTAAGTGGAATCTCCTGCTGCAAGTCGTTCAGAAAAAGTTACTGTGGCCTGAAAATAAGAAAACATTCAAACCTCAAAGAAAAGCTTGCAGACCTTCATAAGCAACTTGGCATATATAGCTATGTCAAGTAAGCGGTATGCAATGGAGGTATATTCAAAAGTCAACGGAGGTATATTCAATGGCCGAGAGCAAGAAGAAATAAAATTCGAATAGAGAGAGAAGGTGCCAGGAAAAGCTCTTTTGCCAGGTGGAGAACTTTTTCCCCACGACTCGTTCTGCCTGCACAGCCAACCTCCACAGCTGATCAAAGCCCCAATAAAGCTACTCAGTTTCGATGAAGTGTTCGAGCGCGGTGCTAGATGGCTGTCGCACCTTGCAGCTAAATCCAGGTGCTGCGGTGCAGTATGGCGCTCTAAACGAGTTCTGCGCAACAGAGTTGCTTCGATGCAAGAAAACAAGTTTGGTACATAATGGCAAAGCTAAGGCGCATTCATGCGTTTTTCGCCGGCAAAGTAGTAGATGTGATGGAGTGGCTTTAGGCGAAGCTGTTTCACCCCTGTATCTATCTCGAATTGTCACTCAAGGACAAAGCTTACATTTTTTTCCACAACCAACAATGTCGACACTGAAACTTCTATGAAACAAGGTTTCTAACGCGACTGCATTAAAATGCAGATGCCAACTGGGTTTATTAGGGTGTACGAACCAAGGTGGTGGGGTGGCGGTGCCATGAGATCTAGGAGCTCCGTGAAGGACAAGGGTGAAGGTGAGCACAACTACGGCTTCCACCACTTCATCCCAAAAGTATGATCTTTATATTTTACAACATTTATTGTTGTCTCTTAATGAAACCTTTATGTGCAAGTGCATACTACGGTGATTAAATGTGCCATATAGTCTGCCAATGACTAGAATGTAAACGATTCCAGAAATCTTTTAGCGCGTCAACCTTCCAGATCACCTTAAAAAATGAGAACATCACCACAATGGCTTCCGATGTCCCTTCATTATGACGGCTTTATGGTCTGTGCCTTGCGCTCTCCTCCGCTGTGCAGCCTTATCCATCCGGCGACTCCGAGCGCGCGCCAACAGCGAACGGATTTTATTACAACGCTCCCCCTAGCGTACGTCGCCGCACTAAATCGAACGATTGCCTTCAACCAATGACACGCGCCATATGTGACATCATTCCTATTTTATAAGATCTCGCGTCTTTCATCAACTACAAGTACCGCTTTCTAGTTTATAACATCTTGCATCTTTTCATCATCAGCTACAAGTACCGCCATCTAGTAA